AACTAACCCATTTGGTCTCATAAAGCCCATCTCTGCAGCTCTGCTGGCGCCGTGACCCTGGTCAAGAACCTTCGACGGCTCCAGATGATTCCCCGTGGTTACAGTCACCCCACGCTCAGCCCAGCCTCCCCTGACTTTCAGCCTGTGACTCCCCATGGTCCACTCAGCAGCCCGGGGACCCTCTGCCGCCCAGCAGCCCCTCCTCCTTTCCTCCGGAGACACCCCTGACCTCATCCGCCTCTCCAGCCACGCCCATTCCACAGGACAAGTGGCTCCCACTGAGGCCAAGCAAAGCCTGGCTCCCCGTGAAGGAAAGGAGGGCACCAGGGGGCTCTGATCCCAAGGGGCTTGGCCTGGTAGGGACACCTTCACAGAAACGCTTGGATACTTCAGGGTGCCTGGGGCAGCACCGAGGGCCACCAGGGGCACCTGATTTTGATGGGGGGGTGGGGTGGGGGCCTGGTGAGCCAGGGAGGACAGGAAGGGACTTCAGGGCGGCGAGGGCAGATGCTCAGAGCCCTGGAGACCGTGCAGTGGCTGGGCCCCAGGGTGCAGGGGCAAAGTGGTGTCAGGAAAGGTGGCTGGGTGACTGACCATCAGCCTGACCCCACTGAAGCCAGGAGGGTTCTGTCCCCACCACCTGGTCCCCAACCTCACCGAAGATCCCCGGCAGTTTGTTTGGGGGCGGCAGCTCGTTGGTTCTTTTCGGCAGCCTCCTCTTCAGGGGCCTCACCGCCCGAGGGGCTCGGACGGGGCCGGGGCTCTCCCTGAAAAAGGTGACCACGAAAGGCTGTTTGGAGCGCGGTGCCTGTTGCCCCAGCAGACCGGCCAGGCCTGGATCCACGCTGCGCCCTGAGACGGAGAGAGCAGAGAGGGTGGTCACTCGAGGGTGGGGCCCTGCACGGGGACACAGCGGGGACCTCTCTGTGGGCGGGCCAGGAGCATGGAGCCTGAGGCTGCAGGGGACCCACTGGGTCTCAGTTTCCTCCTCTGAAGACCTGAGTCCGAAGTCCAGCCCCAGCCCCCAGCGGGCAGGTCTGCAGGAGAGGGGGAGGGTCCTCGGGAGCACAGGCTTGGGATTAGTGATGGTCCAGGGCACCGCCTGTTGGGACAGCGCTTTACAGCTTTCAGTCAGTTCACGTGATGATCTCAACCAGTCTTCATGGTGACGCCAGACCCATCATTTCACTGAGAAGCATCAGAGCCCCTCGGTGACGGCTCAGAGCACCACTACCGGGGACTCTCAGAACCAGGGTTCCCATCCATCTCGGGGCCCCGGGGCCCGAGTTCTACCTTCCACCCCATCCTTTCTGGGGATCAGTGTAGGATTTACAACACCCGGCTGGCGGGAGCGGCTGCCAGGACTCAGTGCTTGCTCTGCTGAGCACCACCCAAGAGCAGGCCACTCGCCGATGCCCCCAAACGAGACCCCAGGCTCCGCGGGCAGAGACATTTACCCCAAGTCCACGTTCAGACACGTGCATCTAATTCCAGAGCCCTTCTTATCCATTTAAGTTCTCAACCAGCGGGTTTGTGGTTTGAAAAGGAAGAAAGAGAGAAAAGGCTGTGGGCAGAGACATGACTGGGGCCTCAGCCTAGGAGTAGTGATGCTTGTAAAGCTGGGATTTTACCCGCAGCTGCTAAAGCCTGAGGATGCCGGAAAAACACGCTGCTTATCCCCGGAAAAGTCACCTCCACCAGTAAAACTATCTTCCTGTACCTCTTTGCAGTTCCAATGACCTCTTGTGTTTTAATTGTCAAAGTGATATATAACAACTGTAAAGAACCTTAGAAAAAATATCACCCATAAAACCCCTCCCCTGCTACAACGCATCATTTTCATTTTTCTGGGCTATTTTCATATGTTAATTTAAATTGTGAGCGTTAAGAAAGAAGTGTGTACTTTCCCCAATTTTTCCACGTAAACATCTTCTTGGTTGTTAAGTCTCAACTATGAACATTTCAAATGTATAAAATTCCTTTGAGTAGATACATCTGAATATTTAGATATTAGTTCATCTTTAGACATTTAAGTTATTTCCTGGCTTTCATCATAAAGATGAGAATGTGATAGAACCTCTTCATTTCCTTTCCCTGTGGAATTTTCACACACTAAACAACAGGGCATGACTACAAGCTCACTGTTAATGTTTCTTAAAACCCAGGGCCGAACATCCCACTTCCAGCTACATTTCACCCCAGTGTTGCAGCAGTGATGCACAGGCATAGACACACATGCACATATATGTATGTGTACACACACGTGTGCGTTTATACAGCTAGTGTACACATGTGCACATACATAAACGTGTGTTCTATTAGTGGGTCTCATGAGCCTCCACTGCACATTACAGGTCAGGGACATCACCGGCCCTTACACAGCTGTGCTTTAGCCCTGAGTCCATGGGCCAGGGTTGACTAAACAACTAATCGACCAGAGACTAACCTTTGACCTATGACATCACCTGCCACAAACATGCACTGGGCCCATCAGAGGTGCCACTCAGGGATGACCCTGCTGAGACAGGAGCTGACACTGGAAGGGGCCCAGGGAGAAGCCGTTCGGGGAGTTTGGGTCATGACAGGTTAGGGTCACGAGGAAGAACAGCAGGCCCGTGAGGATGCGGAGCCACAAGACACACAGCAGCCCTCCCACAGAGGGAAAGGCCCGTGAGGGCACCAGGAGGAGGCCGCGGAGTGATGGGGGCAGGCGGGCGGCTGTCGTCCACGCGGCACTGGAGCGGAGCTCCACACCTGGTGGACACATGCGGCGGCCTTGACCCGGCAGCCCTCTAGGCTTGTATGTGCAACCGCCCTGTCCTGTGAGTCCCTGGAGAGCCCTGTCCACTGAGAGGCCAGGGAGACCTTCGGTGCTCCCGAGGCTGTGCTCACTGTAGACTTTTCTTGTGCAACTGTCTGGTCAAGGATCGTATTGGGGTCTCCTGGGCGCAGAGAGATTGGGTCACAGGGCAGGCCCCGGCTGTCCAGGAGGTGGCCCCCAGGCTGCCTGGCTCTGGCGGGACCCTTTCCAGAAAGCAGAGGCAGGAACTTCAGGAACCTCTGAGGCCCAGGGTCCCTGCCTCTAGACCTGAACTGTGAGGGTGCTGGCAGGCATGCTGTCCCCTTTGTGAGAGACGTGGGATGTGTGGCCACACCTCGAGATGGGGGCCACACTGTGGCCTCCCCCAGCACGCAGACCCAGATGAAGATGCTGCTCCTCTGGGCCAGGAAAGCCCCTGACACCTCCAGCCTCCCCCCATTTCTGAGTCTACCCCATCAGGGCCCGGATGTCTTGGCAGCTCCCCTGCCCTATCCCATCCCTGGGGATTCACGCCCCCTCCCCCTGGGCCAGGCCAAGATTGCTCCCATCTCTCCCCAAGGCCTCTTTCTGCTCTGGGTGCCACCTGCCCCTTCCCTGCAGCCCCTGCCCCACCTCAGCCTGCGGTCATGGATATGACCCTAGTGCCACGTTGAAGGACAATCAGGACGCCTGGCTGAAACCCTTGGAGGGGAGCCAGCTGTGACCAGGTGTGCTTTTGTCCCACAGGTTATTTATTTCCTCACCGCATGAGAACTAGGAACTCAGTGCTTTTCCTTCTTGCTACTGTTTAACAGACCTGTAACTCGTCTGCCTCTGGAAACCTCTGCCTGTCCCAGGCCGATGCTGGAAGGCGTCTCCCTCCAGGCAGGGCAGATCAGTCCTCCTCCCCAGAAGCCCCAGAGGGCTGCACAGCCCACTCAGTGACGTCCATCCACCGCCCGCCTGGCCACGGTCCCCTGACACTCTGTGGCTGTCCCCTCAGGTGCACTGTCTCTCCACTCCAGGATCCGGGCCTCCCGTCAGCGTGAGGCCGCAGGGAGCCTCTCTGAAAGGCCTTCCTTGACCAGCTGGAGCTTCCTGTTCTTACCCACGGGCTCCCATCCATTTTGTGCAGCCCTAGAGCCGCATTGAGAAAGCACAGCCTCCATGGCAGGCCTGGGTTTGAACCCCACAGACGCACGCACACACGCACGCAAACAAAAACTCATTTTTTTCTGTCTAGTTTGTGAGACTATGGATTCAGGATGAAGTACATCACTGCCCCTCATGGGTTTCAAGGGAGTATGAACAAGAGGCTGGTTTAGGCTCCGTAACAGAGAGGAAGGGTCTAAGTGTCTGATCTGGACGACAGAGGAACGCTATGATTTAAGAAGAGAAAACCCATCCACGTCCACCGCCCGCATTTCTAGAACTCCTCCCATCCTAAGCCGCAGCCTTTGGCCACACACAGGCGGCCGTTTATCCACAGAGGAGACTTCTCGGAGAAATGTCAGCACCAACGGTCTCTCCCCCTTCAGTTGCCCCTATTACCAGTTTACTGGCCGCCTAGACGGTCTTGCTTCCCTTCTAGAGACATCTATTTAGCTACGAGGAGGAGAAATGTGAGAGGCAGAGGAGGTGAGGCTACAAGGAAACAAAACTTAGCGACAAAATGAAAGTCCCCAGAAGGAAAGTCAATAGAGCCAAAGGAAAATACCTTTCATTTAGACAGCGTTTCTCCTGGTGACAAATTCACATTTATGTGTGTATGTTTTCATAGTTCCAGTACACTAAAATGGTGCCTTCCACAGACTCTGGGTGGAGTTGTTCCTCCCCCATCACTTTTCCCTACATTTCATGATTCATTCACAAGAGCAGGAACTTCAGTGAAACCTTTCCCATGGGATCATCTCAAGCTGCATAGAATTTAATGTAAATACCACAGACAGGGAGGAGGGTGATTGGAGCAGAGCTTTCTCAGAACTCACAGGACATATAAGGTCAGTGCCTCTGTTTTCCTTTTGTTTTTAATTAAAGGCATGTCCCTCTTGAGAGAACAAAGCCTATCCAGTGGCAGCCAGTCTGGGATGGCAGGAGAAAGCCGGCCAGATGCTGGTGAAATGTAGAAATGTGATTGCGGCGTTCTCAGGATGCAATCCAGGAGGTTAAAGGGAGAAGCACACGTTCTGGGACCAAGGTTCACTTTCTGGCTAGGTTTAGACGTGCTGCATGGGTCTGAGATTCGGGGAGATGGCAAAGGTGCTCCCCGTGCTCTTTTTGATGTCCTCCACCATCAGGCCGTCCCAGAGCTCGATCAGGGTCAGTCCTCTCTTTTTTTTTAAATTAATTAATTAATTTTTGGCTACGTTGGGGCAGGCTTTTCTCTAGTTGCGGCGAGTGGGGGCTACTCTTCGTTGTGGCGTGTGGGCTCAGTAGTTGTGGCTTGCGGGCTCTAGAGTGCAGGCTCAGTAGTTGTGGCGCATGGGCTTAGTTGCTCTGCTGCATGTGGGACCTTCCCGGACCAGGGCTCGAACCCGTGTCCCCTGCATTGGCAGGCTCATTCTCAACCACTGCGCCACCAGGGAAGCCCAGTCCTCCCTTCCTGTGCATGTCAAACACGGCCTTCTCGGTGATGATTCAGTCCACACACCGCTTTCCATTCAGCGGCATGGTACATTTCTCCAAAATTTTGGGTTCACTGGCCTTGGTGGAGTGCTCCATGGTGACCATCACTCTGGTCTCGGTACTGGACACCAGATCCATCGCACCCCCCATTCCTTTCACCTTCTTGCCGGGTATCATCCAGTTAGCCAGGTCACCATATTTGGAAACCTCAAGGTTAGGTCGATGTGTCCCCCTCGAATCATGGCAAATGATTCATCGCTGGAGAAAAAACAGCCCCCAGGAAGAAGGGTGACTGTTTGCTTGCCCGCATTGTTGAGACCTGCGTCCACCTCCTCTTTCAGTGGGAACGGACCCAAGCCCAAGATTCCATTTTCACTGTGAAGATGAACGGTTATACTGGGGCTGATGTAGCTGGTGGCCAGAAGAGGGATTCCCATGCCCAGACTGGCATACAGGCCGTCCTCAAAGGCAAGAGCTGCCTGCTTGAGGACCCGTGTCCTCATACTGTCTGCAGACTTGCATATTTCATCACCCTCTTTCCGGGTCATTAAATGCTCGCTTCTTTTCTCATATTTCCCCCCTGTATTCCTCAATCTAAGTAAATGTTAGGAACATGGATGTCCTCTAAGTAAATGTTAGGAACATGGATGTCCTCTGGGGCAAACGACCCCAGGTCCACAATTTCTTCAATCTCCACCACTGAGGTTCTCGCAGCTTTGCACATGGGCACGTTGAAGTTCCTGGCGCTGGCCCTGAAGACGAGGTTTCCTGCCCGGTCGACCTTCCACCCTTTCACCAAAGCAAAATCGGCCGTGACGTCGTGCTCCAGAAAGTACTGCTGTCCGTGGAACTCCCTCACCTCCCTGGGCTGACTCAGGATGGAGATGTGGCCGTCCTCTAAGTACTTGCTGGGTGGGCCTCCCTCCTGGGCCAGGGTCCCGTAGGCCGTGGGGGTGCGGAAGGCGGGCATGCCGGCGCTCCCCCACGCGGATGCGCTCGGCCAGGGTGCCCTGGGGCGTGATCTCCAGCTCCAGCTCGCCCACCAGGTACCGGTGCTCGCAGAGCGAGTTCTCCCCCAAGTACGAGCAGACGATGCGGGTGATCTGCTTGGTCCCCAGGAAAAGGCCGAGCCCGAAGTTCTCCTCCCCCACATTGCTGCTGACCAAGGTCAAGTCCTTCACGCGGGCCTTGAGCAGCGCCCCTATCAGGTTCTCCGGGATCGCGCAGAGGCCGAAGACCCGGACCATGATCCTCGCGCCGCCCGGGATGTCTCTCACGGCCTCCACGTAGGACTAGGCACGCGCGCGGGTCCTGCTGGTGAAGCCGCACACACCGCCTGTCGCCAGCGTGGGCACCGAGCGGCCAGCGGCGACCCGGCGCCCGAGCGCAGACTCCAGGAGCCGCAGGGCTGCCATCGTCCGCTCCGCTCCGGCTGGGGCTCCGGCCCCGGGCCCAGCGGGGACAGGCGGCGGCCGTGCGCGCCCCGCCCGCGCGTCACAGGGCACGGGGCCCCCGGCTGGCTCCCCGCCGCCCCGCTCTGTCTCCGCGCTCCGAGGGCCCGAGGCGCCGGGCTTCCCGGGCCGCGAAGGCAGGAGGCGGGACCGGTCCGGACCGTCAGGCGGGACTGGAGGGATCCGGGGACTGGCGCACGGAGGCCCCGAGGCGACGTCCCTCCGGGGAAGCCTGGGCGCCGTCTCCTTCCTCTCCATCGTCACCCTTCCTCCCCGGCGCGTTACTCCCGTCCCCCTGCCCCCAGATCCACCTGCACGTCAGCGGTTCCCACACCTGTGTCCCCAGCACGTACTGTCCTGGAACCACATTTGTCACAACTAATCAACCAATACTGGTATCTTATTATTTACTAAACATCACGATCTACTCAGATTTCATTAGTTTTCTCCAGCGTCTTTTTTCCAGGATCCCACCCAGGGTCCCACATTGGCATATAGTCATCACAACTCTTTAGGCACCTCTGGGCTGTTACAATTTCTCAGACCTCCCGTGTTTTTTGATGACCTTGACAGTTTTGAGAAGTACGGGTCAGGCAGGTGTTCTGTAGAATGCCCTTCAGTTTCAGGTCGTCTGATGTTTTTCTCATGGTGAGACTGGGGTTCTGGGTTTTGGGGACGAAGACCATGGAGGTGAAGTGCTGTTCCCACTCCGTCAGATCAAGGGTGTCTGGGAGCTACATGACGTGTTCATGGGAGCCTGAGCACCCGGCTGAGGGGTGCCGCTCAGGTTGCCCCTGCAAAGGTACTGCCCCAGCCCACGGCATACTTTGGGAAGCAAGTCTGTAAGCGCAGCCCACACTGAAGGAGGGGGAGAGATGCTACACCCCCTCGAGGGGGAGTGTCTCAGAGGGTTGTTTTATAGAACGCTGAATCAGATCCTGTCCCCCTCCACTGCTATTAAATAAGATGACATTTATTTCAGAGTTACTGTTTTGCCCACTTCTCTCAGCCTCCTCACAGCCGTTGCCTAGCCCTCTGTGCTCCAGCCGTGGTGGCCCCCGCTGTACTGCACACACCAACCCTGGGCCCACCAGGAGGCTCTCCCCCAAACACCCGCTAAATGAATGAAGGTGTGAATCCTCATTCTACAGATGAGGAAACCGAGGCTTAGGAAGGTAAGTAACCTGCCAAGGTCACCGAGTTAGAAGGCTGCAGAGCCGAGATTCACACCCAGGCCTCTGCCTCAGAGCCTGAGGGTGTGAGCGCTTCCCCCCGCCACCCCCCAGCCCAGGACGGAAACTCCTGGTGCAGAAGGCAGCTCCGTAGGGTAGAAAGAATCTCCCGTTTCTCGGGGAGGGAAAACGTGGGCTCACTCCGAGCAGCGCAGCTGTTGGTCCTGCAGAAGGAGGGGAGGGACCCTCGGCTGGCAGGGGCCTCCTGCTGTCCTGCACTGCGGAAACCTCACTCCACCCACTGGGCCCCGCGGAGGGGTGGAGGCATCCCCCAGCGGCACAGGCGGAAAAGGCCAGGCCTCCAGGGCCACGTGAGGGGCTCCAGCTGCGCCTGCCGCCAGCAGCTTCCTCGGAGGAGCCCCCAGGGGAAGGTTCACTGCTGACCCGAGTCTTACCATCATCTGTTTCCACATAGAGGCGGAGTCCCAGGTCCTTGTTACTGTTCAAGAGCCAGCGGTCACTGGCTGCTGTCACGTCCAACACCAGCCAGCCCTCGTCCCCAGATCGGAGCGTCTGAAGATCCAAAAAGAACAAGTCAGACTCCCTGTGGACACGAAAGAACAATTAACCGAGGGCCGGCACAGCTGCCTTTGTTTCCAGTGCCCTCCTGGGGGACCATTAGTGGGGCATCTACCCCGCCTGGCTCTGACCTGGGTGCCTTACATGCCTTTTCTCACTGCGGCTACTGTACAAAGGTGTTACTGTGCCCGTGTACAGATGCGGAAACTGAGGCTCAGGAGCTCAGTGACCTGCCCATGTCCCACAGCTAGGACAGTAGGATGGGGACTTGAATCCAGGACTGATGCTGGGCCTCTCCCCACGGTGACACGAGGCCTCAGGCCAACCATCTTTGTCCTTTGAGGGTGGGCTGCCCAGGAAGCTCCCCTTCTGTCCTCTGGGAAATGTACCCCCCGGCACCCAGGGCTGGGCCGGACCCTCCGACAGAGGCTTGAGTGGGCCCGTGGGGCTCAGGGCAGGCACCTGTTGGACTTCTCCAGGACCACCTCGAACATGCTGACGTGGAGGGTCCAGTTGAGCAGGTGGGTACTGGGCAGCTTGTAAATCCGGAACTCCGCGGCCGTGACGGCCTCCCCCGCCGGGATCTGGGTCAGGTCAAAGCGGAACTCCTTCCACTGGGGCTCCTGGTGGCCCAGGGTGCGGTCCCGCTCCACTGCAAGACAAAGTGGGACTGGCGGTCACTTGTGGTTCCAGCTCGGGCTCCGGGGTGGGCAGGGCCGGGTGGGATCTGGGGGCCTGGGCAGTCTGGGTGGACCGCTCCCTGCTCGAGAACAGGCTTGTCCCAGCTCTGCCTCCTGGGTGCCGAGAAGGCTCCGGGAGCTGTGTCATGAGGCGCCCGGCACGGCACCTGGCACACGGCGGCGGTGCCACAAGGGCAGTGTCCACGTCTGGTCCGCAAGCCCCAAACCCAGCTTGCCCCGCTCAGCACCCCGCTGGCTCTGGGACCCACAGATGGGGCCCAGGACAGGTCCCTCCTCTGGGGAGATGGACATCAGACCCAAGGCAGGAAAGCGCCACGGTGGCAGCAGGGACATAGCTGAGTGCACTTGGGCAGGACGGGGCTCCCGGAGTCAGCCGGTATGTGGATGGGAGTTGAGGGGAGAGAGGGCTTTGGAGCTGGGCCTTGAGGGGTGAGAGTGAATTTGCCACAATGTCAAGGGAGAAGGATGCTGCAAAGGCAGGGTCCAGCCTGAGCAAAGGCCTAGAGCCAAGGAACGACAGCACCGGCAGGGAAAACAGCAGCCATAAAGCCCAGCAAAGGGTGAAAGGACGGCAGGACCCTCTTTGAAACAAGGGGAAGCAGGAAGGGGGGCCGGAGGGAGACACGGAAAGAACCAGGAAGAGGCGAGGTAGGATGACAGCTCCTGGAGATGCTGGGTCAAGTGCTGGGGAAGCTGGAGGGTCCCATGGCATGATCTGAGCAGGCTTCCCAGAGGAGGTGACACCTGAACTGGCCTTGAAGGATGGGACTGAGTCTTGGTAGGTGGATAAGGTGGGGGAGAAGACATTCTAGGCAGAGGTCCTGCACAGGTGTGAGGTGCTGGGGCCACCCACCATCCTTCAATGTGCAGCTCAGGGCATAAGTCTGGCTGTGGCCTGACTGCGGAGAGCTGGAATTCTGGCCTCGGAGCGTGGGCTGTGCTCTGGCCAGTGGGGCGTCAGGGCTCTGGGCAGCAAGGGAGTGTGGTTTAAGGGTAGAGTGGAAGCTATGTGTGGAGGCGAGGGTAAAGCCCAGGCTGGAGGGGACCCGAGGCAGGCCAGTGGCAGGGCTGCTCTAACAGTCTGGGCAAGAGACCACAGGAGCAGAATAAACCCCACATTTCCCCAGCTGCCCGGAAATGCCCAGGACAGTATATTTAGAGCGTCTCACTTTAGCCTCCTGTCACTTTCAAACACTAAAAATCTGTGTTTCCGCAAAGCAGGGGCGGGAGCCTCCCAGAGCCTTCCCCCAAAACCAACACTGAGATTTTAATTACATGTCTGTGAGTCTTTTTAAAAATTCTCTCTCTGGCTACTGGACTCAGAGACCACAAGTCACCAGGCTGGTGGCAGAGGCGGATGTGGGAGCACTTCCTGTCCTTGCGGTGGAGACCTGGTCCGGTGATGGATGGGCAAACAGCTGTGCTGGGCGGGGCCAGTGGACACATGTTTGGGCAGGAGATGGGCGTTTCATCCCCTGACCAGGGAGGAGAGGAAATAGAACCTCCATCGTCTGACAGGGTGCTGGACCCGCAGTAAATGCCCAGCCACGAGCCAGGCTGTTCCAGGGGCAGCATGTCATAGGAGGATCCGGGTCCTCCCATACAGGCAGGGCACGGAGGGCAGGGTTCTGGACCTTTGCCGAGTGATGCTCGCCATGAATATCACCACACGAGTCCCCTCTTCCCTACAGACTCCCACACAGAGCTTTGGGGACAATTTCGGATTCGGTAACTGCAGAGACAACCTCGGTTACGTGACTGTGTAAGCATCCCTGATCTGCAGGATGAAATAGGTCCAGGCTGTTGGCTGTCACAGGGTGTGGCCCTGAGAATAAGGAGGGGTCACTCAGCCACGCCCTGAACCTGACCCCTCTCAAATCATTCTTATATATCTGCCCCCAAGGCACAGTGGGTGACCCTTGGTGGGTCATTGGGAACCTCTGTCTGCAGGCCTGACACTGACTCACTCATGTTGTATCCAGGACTGAGGGAACAACCACAAACCTGCCAGCTCCCGCGGGCACCAAGCTCTGTGGCCTCCCTCCCTTGCTGACCTGGGGGCCCGCGTGTGCTGGGTCAAGAGAGCCCTGTTCACCTGGGTTGACCCCAGTTCCAAACTTCCATCCGGTGGGTTTCTGAAATCGATGCCCACCACCCCCTCACCCCCGCAATAGTTCCAGCACAGGAAACTGCCCACCCCAGCAGTTCCAGGCAAGCGCTAGAGGCGGGACATTTTTAGGAAAATGATTTTCATCAGAAATTGGTGAATTATCCTGAGTGTGGAACTGGGTAAAGAGAGTAAGTCCTTTATCTGACAGTCAGTGGGGAGGGGAGGGCGAGGCCACCTGTGGAGGTGCAGGTTTTTCAGTGCCTGTGGCTTTGAGTTAGGAGAGAGAGTTCCCAAAAGCTGGTGTTCTGGGAAAGCATTTTCTGGCACCTCTATTTCCCCCTTGTTAACTGTGCAGACCGAGCCTGTTTTAGCCAGAGAGGCAGCTTAGGGCATCCTGGAGGG